ATTTTTTCCTATATTGTTTTTTTATGCTTTATTTTGTTTATTTCTGCCCTAATCTTAATTCTTTCTTTCCTTCTGCTAACTTTGGGCTTAGTTTGTTCTTTTTCATTCCTTGAGGTGTAAAGTTAAGTTGTTTTTTTGAGATCTTTTTTAATGTACATGTTTATCTCTATAAAATCCCCTCTTCAGTGTTTCTGCTGCGTCTCATGTTTTGGTGTGTTGTGTTTTTGTTTTCATTTGTCTCAGGATATTTTCTAGTTTTCCTTTTGATTTTGTCTTTGACCCATTGGTTGTTCAAGAGTTGATTGTTTAATTTCCACATATTTATGTACTTCCTAGTTTTCCTTCTGCCATTAATATCTAGTTTCATTCCATTATGGTCAGATAATATACGTGGTGTGATTTCAGTCTTCTTACATTTGTTATGACTTGCTTTGTGACCTAACATGATGTATCCTGGAGAATGTTCCGTGTGTGCTTGAGAAGAATGTATATTCTGCTTCTGTTAGGTGGAATGTTCTGTATATGTCTGTTATCTCCATTTGATTTATAGTATTGTTCAAATCCTCCTCTGTTTGTTATTAATCTTTTGTATGGATATTCTATTATTGAAAGTGGGGCATTGAAATCTCCTACTGTTATTGTGTAACTGTCTAATTTTCACTTTAGTTCTGTCAATATCTGCTTCATATATTAGAGTGCTCTGATGTTGGGTGCGTATATATTTATAATTGTTATATCTTCCTGGTAAATTGACCCTTTTATCATTATATAGTGTCCTTCTTTGCCTCTTTTGTCAGTTTTTGACTTAAAAATCTGTTTTGTCTCAGTATGGTTTTGGTTATCGTTTGTATGGAATATCTTCTCTATCCTTTCACTTTCAGCCTGTATGTGCCCTTAAATCTAAAGTAAATCTGTTGTAGACAGTACGTAGTTGCATCTTTTATATTTATCAACTACTCTATCTTTTAATTGGGGAGTTTAATCCATTTACATTTAAAGTCATTATTGATAGAGAAGCATTTCCTATTGTCATTTTGTTCATTGTTTTCTGTTTTGGAGCTTTTTTGTTCCTCTTTTCCTCTCTTGCTTGCTTGCTTTGCGTTTCATTGATTTTTTTGTAGTGACATACTTTGATTCCTTTCTCCTTTTTTTTAGTGTATATTCTATAAGTATTTTCTTTGTGGTTACCATAGGGCCTACATAAAACATCTTATAGTTATAACAATCTATTTTAAGCTGAACTGAACTTCAGCTGCATACATATACTCTACACTTTTACTTCCTCCTCCTCCACACTTTGTTATTGATGTCACAAATTACACTTTCTATATTGTGTACCATTAACATATTTTAATAGTTGTATTTATTTATTTAATTTTATTTTTTTGGTGAGGAAGATTGGCCCTGAGCTAACATCCATTGCCAATCCTCTTCTTTTTACTTGAGGAAGATTGGCCCTGAGCTCACATCTGTGCCAGTCTTCCTCTATTTTGCGTGTGGGTCGCCGCCACAGCGTGGCTTGAAGAGTAGTGTATGTCTACGGCTGGGATCCGAACCCACGAATCCGGGCCACTGAAGCAGAGCATGCCGAACTTAACCACTACACCACTAGGCCGGCCTCTGTATTTATTTATTTATTTATTTATTTTTTTAAAGATTTTATTTATTCAGTTTTTTCCCCCCAAAGCCCCAGTAGATAGTTGTACGTCATAGGTTCACATCCTTCTAGTTGCTGTACGTGGGACTCGGCCTCGCGTTGGACGGAGAAGTGGTGCCTCGGGGCGCTCCCGGGATCAGAACCCGGGCCGCCAGCATCAGAGCGCGCGCACTTAACCGCTAAGCCACGGGTCCGGCCTGTATTTATTTTTTATACTTTTATCTTTTAACTTCTACACCAGAGTTAAAAGTGGTTTACTCACCACTGTTACGGTATTCTGTATTTGTCCATATATTTACCTTGGCCAGTGAGCTTTATACTTTTGCATACTTTCATGTTGCTGTTTAGTGTCTTTTTGTTTCAGCTTGAAGGACTCTTTCTAGCATTTCTTGTAAGGCAGGTCTAGTGATGATGAGCTCCCTTAGCTTTTATTTTGTGAGAATGTCTTTATTTTTTCCTCATTTTTTAAGGACAGTTTTGTGTGATATTATATTCTTGGTTAGCAGGTTTTTTTCTTTAAGCACTTTGAATATAACTTCCCCCTCCTTGCTGACGTGCATGGTTTCTGGTTAGAAGTTCACTGATAGCCTTATGTGAGTTCCCTTGTACATGATGAGTCACTTTTCTTTTTCCTCTTTCAGAATTCTCAGTCTTTGACTTTTGACAGTTTGATTATGTGTGTCAGTGTGATTTCTTGGGTTCATCATAGGCAGAGTCTTTTGGGCTTCTTGAATCTGGTTGTTCATTTCCTTCCCCAGATGGGGAAATTTTCAGCCATTATTTCTTTAAATAAATATTTTGTCCCTTTCTTTCTCTCTTTTCCCATAAGTCTCATAGACTTTCTTCACTCTTTTTCATTCTTTTTTCTTTTGTTTCTCTGACTGGATAATTTCAAGTGACCTGCCTTCGAGTTTGATGTTTCTTTCTTCTACTTGATTAAGTGTGATATTGAACTTTTCAGTTCAGTTGTTGTATTCTTCAGCTCCAAAATTTCTGTTTAGTTATTTTTTATATTTTCTGTCTCTTTGTTGGTATTCTCATTTTGTTCATGCTTCATTTTCTTGAGCTTGTAGACCATCTTTATGATGGTTGTTTTGAATTGTCTGTCAGATTATTCATATAACTCCTTTTCACTCAGATAATTTTCTGGAGATCTGTTTTATTTTTTTGTTTGGGCCGTGTTTCCCTGTTTCTTCCTATATCTCATAATTTTGTGTTGGGATCTGTGTATGTGAAAAAACAGTTACTTCTCCCAGTCTTTATGCCCTGGCTTCGTACAAGAGAAGACCCTCACAAATGAGCCTGGCTAGATATTTGGTGGCCTCTGAAACCTTTTTGAGGGGGATGTGACTTCCTGAGCTTGTGTGCAGTTTCTCAATTAGAGAGCCTTGCTGGTTTTTCAGGAGCTCATAATCTCTTGCTCCCTCTAGTGCCTGTTTGTGGCACTGCAAGTTCTCTGGTGCTACAGCAGCAAGCTGCCTTGTGCTCTCGCACTCAGTGGCCACCAGGCATCCAGAGTATGCCGGCTCTCCATCAGCACACCACATCAGGTGAGACAGATACCATTCCCTTGAGCAGCCCTGTGAAAAGCTGGCGTACCAGAAGTATGTTCTCTTCTCCCTCCCTCGGAGGGAGAGAAGCCTCGAGTTATGTGCCTTCTCCCAATTACACCAAGTTGTGCTGGCTGCAGGATGCCACCCCTCACTTTTCTTTGGTCTCAGCAGCATTCAGGCATCCATACTATGCCAGTTCCATCAGTGCGCCAAATGAGGTGCGACAGAAACCAATCCGTCGGGCATCCCTCCAAAGAGTTGGAATGCTGGATGCGTGCTCCACTCCTGTCTCTCTCCCTCCGGAATGAGAGGTCAGGAGCTGAGGTGGTCTTTGCTTGGCACTGAGCTGTAGTAGCTTGGGCCGGGGGCTGATGTGGGGAAAGTGAGATTGCTCTTCTTACCCATTTCAGTGCAGCTGTTTTCAGCTTTGTGTTCCTTTGGGGTATTGCAGCTTCATAACTGGATTCTGGAAATCTCATAAAAGTATTTTTATCAACTCTGTATGTCATTGTTAAAGCCATGTTTCTGCGGTAGAACGAGGACTGGGGCTTACTATTCTTGCACACTGCTCATGTCACTCTCCTCCCCATACTTCTGTAGAATGCTGGTTTAGAAGTGAAATGACTTCAGAAACCCACCCACGTATTTATTATGATCCTACATGCTGGCCGCTTTACAATGAAAGGCATTTTGAGGCCACATTGAGTATAAATAAGCACATCTTACCTTGGTAAAGCTACCTTCTGTTCTTTGCTAATTTTTCTTTTTCTGTCTTTGCGAAGTCTGGCCTTCTGGAATGGAGGAAAAGATGAGTCTGGTAATAGGGATGTAGATTGACCTTTGTATCTGAGTTTCCTATTTCTAGAGTACATGATGATGTATTATTTGAGACTAAAACACAAAAGGAAATGCTTAAACTTTCCACATAAGAAGTTCTCAGAGCAAAAATGTGCATAACTATATTAACCTTTTTTTAAGACTGTAATGTCTATTTTTAAAGGCTTTAAATACTTGATAAACAGTAATCAAATCATTGCATAGAATCTCATATTGAAGGTTTAGGTGATGGCAGTAAAAGTCACGTTTATTATAGACAAACATGACAAGTTTTCTGTGTGTCTAGAGCCAGAACATAAAATAGAAATGTGCTGTCATTGCTATCAATAGTTAACATAGACTCTACAGTTAGAATGCCTGAGTTTGTATCCTAGTTCCACCACTCATCCAGGTGATCAGGGTCAGGTTACTTAGCCTTGTTTTATTCTTCTTTTTCTTTTGTGCCTCAATTTTCTCATGTATAATATGGGTATAATAATAATAGCACTTACTTCATGGGTTGTTACATGAATTGAATGAGATGATCGATAGATAGATATGAAACTTTTAGAACAGTGCCTGGAATTTAAGAACTGCTCAATCATTGTTAGCTATTAGTAAGAGTAATTTTTTTGTGTGTGTGAGGAAGATCAGCCCTGTGCTAACATCTGCCAATCCTCTTTTTTTTTTGCTAAGGAAGACTGGCCCTGGGGTAACATTTGTGCTCATCTTCCTCCACTTTATATGGGACGCCACCACAGCATGGCTTGCCAAGCGGTGCATCGGTGCACGCCCAGGATCCGAACCGGCGAACCCCGGGCCGCTGCAGCAGAGTGCACGCACTTAACTGCTTGCGCCACCAGGCTGGCCCCTTATTAAGAGTCATTTTGATGCAATTACTCTTTTTAAGCTTAGTAACTGTTAGATATCATGTGGAAAAAAAAGATTAAATAACCTTTCTAACTCATTTACAGAGTTGAAACTGTGGGACAACCAGACAGAAGAGACAGTATAGGAGTGTGTGCAGAAAAACAGAATGGATATGACTCTCTGCAGCGGGATCAAGCAGTGTGCATTAGTACAAATGGTAAGAGACAAATAACTGTCGTTCTCTGTGAAATATATGAATTACTGTAGTAAGATATGAGTCTGTTCCAATATCCCACGTTTATAGCAAGAGATGAGGAGATTTAGGACTTAATGACATGTCTATATGGGTACTATGTACCAGGCATTGTTCTATACCCTTTACAAAAAGTAAATCATTTAATCCTTTTAACAACTTTTTGAAGTGGGGAGTCGTATTACATCCATTTTATAGAAGATGAAAACAGCCACAGACGGGTTAAGTAACTGGCTTAAACTCACATAGCTTGGAGGCGATTGAGCTGGAATTTGCACCAGGCAGTCTACCTCTGGATTCTGTGTGCATAGATCATCTAAATTCAACATAGATAAGGGAACATAAATTCAGTAGAGGTTAGGGAACTGGGAAGAGAGTTTACTTAATTTGTTATGTATCTCTAGTGTTGTTTGGTCCCTTTCTCCACAATAACAACACTTTTAAAAGACACTACCAAGACGTGTTAATATTTTGTGGTGTGGGTCAAGCAGTAGGTAGGACCAGATTCTTGTTTATTCCATGTGCAACAATCTTGCTGTTCCGCAGGATGTAAGTTTGTAGTGGAGTCAAGTTTCTTTAGATGCCTTCCATATGGGGAACTCATAGTGTCTATTCTAAAAGAGTAACACCCTGGACCAGAACTCTAAAATGTTAAAGCTTTAATTGTTTCTCCTGCCTTGGAGATGGAGTTTGATTAATGTATATAAATGCATTATCTTTGACCAGTTGGCATTCCAAAATGTTTTCTTTATCTGAATTAGGAAATTAGCTGCATTACCAATAATCTAGAATCTGTTTCAATTCTTAGTTATTGCTTACATGTGAATGACTCTTTACCTTAACATTTTAGGTGCAGTTTTTGTAAATGGAAAAGAAATGACTAATCAGTTGCCCGCAGTTACTTCTGGGTCCACTGTCACATTTGACATTGAAGCTGTGACTCTAGGATCCACCAATAATAATGAAGGCGGAAACTTCAAGCTTCGAGTAACTATTAGCTCAAATAACAGAGAAGTGGTTTTTGATTGGTTACTTGATCAGTCTTGTGGTTCTCTTTACTTTGGATGCTCATTTTTCTATCCTGGGTGGAAAGTATTGGTTTTCTAGATTTCTGGATGATTGGCTTTGATTTGCAGGGTTTTAATGGAGCTGTCCTCAGCCTGGTTTAGTTGTAATTGATTAAAAAAATTGTTAGATTCATTTCTCAGTTAAGCCATGGGAAATGGAAATTGTTTACTGGGTTTATTTTGGAATATTTCAGCAGTAAGAGTCTTGAATATAGTGGACAAAACCGTAATGCAGTCAATTTTATTTCTAGCATAGTGTTAATGGAAATAATCGCATCGTAATAAACATCAAATTGGCTTTTAAACTGTGAGGAGATACAGAAAGCCCTATACCCTTCCACTGTACTTCTTTTTAAAGTTGGTTATTAGATCAGAAAAACTTAATGTAACATTATTTTGTTGAATCTCCATCTTTTAAGGATCCAAGGCCATGTAAGACTTTAGAATAAAACACCAGGAATAGACCAGATGGAAGCCCGAGTTCTGTAATATGCGTTCACTTGTGTGCCCTCCACATGAATGTTGACTGTGCTCTCCATGTTCAGGTGTTTCTAAGCAGTATTGAATTTTATGTCATGTTCAGTAATCTTTAAGCCTCAAAAGCATGATAATTTTTGCATTTTTAAAAATTACTGAGCAAACGTCTACAATAGGCAGAGTATTTTCTTTTGTTCTTTCCTTGCAATTTGATTCTCAATAGGCTAGAGGGTTTTTACAGGGTAAAACTACTTCTGGAAGTAGTGTGCACAGCAGTGTTAGCCATTCACTGTATGTAATATGCAAATGTGCACATCCAACCTCAGTGATAAGCATGTTACTATTCATAGGGTGTGAGCTGCAGTCCAGTTTAATGTCAGTTTTACAAATGGTCTTGTAGTGGACCAAAACAAATAGAGGGTAAATACTTGACCTATTTTTTTGGAAAACTTAAATTTGTGTAAAATATTTATTTGAAGGACTTACTTAGTATGTAAAAATGATTATCTTGCTATACTAGCCTACAGATTTTTTTTTAATGTGAATTTTTTTTTTCATTTTTAACAGTAGAAAAGTGGACAAGCAAGTTTGATATTTTTGTAAGATAATTTATTTGGGGATTCAAATTCCCTATTAGACAATCATCACCTTTTTCCCTTGCCTTTTTATATATAAGTAAGTCGTCTTTCACTTGTTTAGTGATTGTTAAGAAGATGTGCTAGAATATAGATGCCTCGTCCAGCTGTCTGAAACAAAATAAAAAACTAAAAGTTAAATGTGTGTATTTTTTTCTTCCATGAGATTTGATGAATCTAATTTTAGTGTTTACTTTTAAGTAGGGAGAGAAAAGAGTAACTTGTGGCTCTAGTCATTTTAATTCAGATATCATTGTAACTTGTGAAAAGTTACTTATACTCTCCTATATTTTGTGTATCTGATACCAAGCATAGTGCCTGACATGTGCACAAAAAATGTTTGATTGAATACATGTAGACGAGTTATTATCTCCAGAACATCATCTCATTCCGTTCATTCAGCAAATGTTTACTGAACATCTTTATTTCTTGTCCTCCATAGGAGAAATGGCATCTTAAATTTATATCTATAGAATCTGCTTTTCACAGAAGTGGCTTAAACCTAACTTAACTTTAGACAGAAGTGGATCGTAATATTTTGAACTCTGAAACTAATTTAAATATCTATTTTTCTTGAACTGTGAACTGAAGATTTTGTTAAAAGCCAACCCATTCTATTTAAATAGATAAAGGAACCTAGTATTCCAAATCTGTTTGCGTGCTTGGAGGGACAAGGTAGTTTGGGTGATGATAGTGATGGTGCTCAGGGCAAGCTACCCCAGGAGGCACCACTCTGGTATGCGGATTATTTCAAGCTGAAGACAATAAGGACTCAGAGAACTCAGGAAGAATATTTGAGTTTCCCCTCCCAAACTGCCTAAAGAATTTGAAACAAAAGATCTGTTTCAAGAAAGAGTTGTTATCATGATGGCTGTAAAGATAATGTAGGATAGAGGTTACAATAGGAAAGGCACCAAGCCTCTTTTATCAAAAACTCTGTCTCTCCCTGACCACATTATCTATAGATGACCCTGAAAAGAATTGTCTTCCTCCCCTCTGAAGTCCCAGGCCACTACCCACCCCCAACACGCTCCTCGCCTTTAGCTGCAATACTTAAGCAAGCAGCTTAGACAGAGGGGCGAATTGCTGATTTCTGAGTTTCTCCCATGTATACATGTTATTAAACTTGGTATTATTTTCTCCTGGTAACCTGTGTTGTTAATTATTTGGCCAGCCATAAGAACCTTAAGGAAAAGGGCAGAGGGAGATTCTTCCTCTCCCCCAACAATAGTGATAATGATAATAAGAATTGATATTTATCAAGCCCCTACTCTGTGCCAGGCACAATGCTAAGTTTTCAAAGTACATTCATTATCTCATTTAATCCACATATACTGATGATACTGTTACTATTATTTCTACTTTACTGATGAGAAAACTTAAGCTCAAGAGATGTGAGCTAATTTGTCTAAGGTCCTGACCAGTAACTAACCTAGTTGGGACTCTGGCTCAGACCTGTTTCCCTCCGGAACCCCAGCTCTTAACCATGATGCTCCTGGGGGGAGTGGACACTAAGGGGAAAGTCCCACTTAGGATAAGTGGTAGGTACTGCAGGAGTAGCACTGAGGAAGGACTGACTGATTCTGCCCAAAGATCTCAGGGAGCAAAGTAGATCTTAAAAGATGGGTAGAAATTAGATAAACTCAGAACTGGAATTTGAAGTCGAAGGGCAAGAATCTGTAGTCACGATGAAGGTAAGAATGGTGTGTTAGGGCATCCCCCATATCGTGGTGGTGGTGGTGGTATGTGAGACTGCAGTGAAGGTCTGAGGGTGCAGAGAAGTTGCATGCTTTATGTTTTTGAAATTGCCAAACTGATTTCCAAAGGGGCTGCACCATTTCTACATTCCCACCAGCAGTGCGTTCACTGAATCCTCCCCTGTATTGGTTGTCACTATTTTTTATTGTAGCCTTTCTGATAATATCAATGTGTGGTGGTATCTCATTGTGGTTCTAATTTGCATTTCCCTAATGGCTAATAATGCTGAATGTCTTTTTACGTGCTTATTTGCCATCAGCAAATCCTCTTCAGTGAAATGTCTCTTACCCATTTTCTAATTGGTTTGTTTGTTTACTGTTAAGTTTTAATAGTTCTTTATATAGTCTAGATATTAGTACCTTGTTGGGTTTGTGGTTTGCAGATATCTTGTCTGGAGCTTGTCTATTCATTCTCTTACCAGGGTCTATCCCAGAGCAAAAGTTTCTAATTTTGATGAAATCAAGTTTATTAATTTTTCTTTTATGCATCAAGCTTTTAGTGTCAAGTCTAAGAAGAATTCTTTGTTCTAAATCCCAAAGATTTTCTCCTGTGTTTTTCCCTAAAAGTTTTACAGTTTAACATTTTACATGGAAGTCTGTGATGCGTTTTGATTTAGTTTTTGTATAGCGTGCAGACTTAGGTTGGGGTTGGTTTGGGAACGTGTTTGTCCACAGAGCTGTCCAATGGCTCCAGCATTGTTTGTTGCTATTTTTCTCTCATTGAATTGCTTTTGCATCTTTGTCAAAAATCAGTTGGACATATTTATGTGAGTCCATTTCTGGGTTTTCTCCTCTGTTCCATTGACCTATGGGTCTGTCCTTCTCCTAGTACTGCACAGTATGATTACTGTAGCTATATCATCTTTTAAAATCAGGTAGACTGATTTCTCTCTCTTTTTTTTTTTTCTTGTGAGGAAGATCAGCCCTGAGCTAACATCCATTGCCAATCCTCCTCTTTTTTGCTGAGGAAGATTGGCCCTGGGCTAACATCCATGCCCATCTTCCCCTACTTTATATGGGACGCCACCACAGCATGGCTTGACAAGCGGTGCGTCAGTGTGCACAAGTGTTGCGTCAGTGCGCACCTGGGATCCGAACCTGTGAACCCCGGGCCGCTGAAGCGGAGCGTGCACACTTAACTGCTATGCCACCGGGCCGGGCCCTGATTTCTCTTTTATTCGTCTTTTTCAAAACTGTTTTCACTATTCCAGTTCCTTTGCTTTTCTAGATAGATTTTAGAATAATCTTGTCTCTATCTACAAAAAATCTTGCCAGGATTTTGATAGGAATTGTGTTAAACCTGTACATCAATTTGGGAAGAGTTGACATCTTTACTATATTTGGTCTTCAGATCCGTGAACACACTATGTCTCTCCTATTTAGATCTTTGATTTCTTTCATCAACATTTTGTAGTTTCCAGCATGGAAGTTCTGCACATGTTTTGGTACATTGACACCTAAGTATTTCTTTCTCTCTTTTTTTTTTTAGGGATTATAAATGGTATTGTATTTTTAATTTTGGTTTCCACATGCTCATTCCTAATATATAGAATTGATCTTTGTATGTTTGTCTTGTATCCTGCCAAATTACTGAGCTCAATGTTTTTTCTCCCTTGAGATTTCTTTCTCTTTGACCCAAGGATTTTCTAGAAATGTGTTGTTTAGTTTCTGAGTGTTTGGAGATTTTCCTGTTATCTTTCTGTTATTGATTTCTAGTTTGATTATATTGTGGTTGGAGAATACACTCTGTATTATTTCAGTTCTTTTAAATTTATTCAGCTTTGTTTTATGTCCCAGAATATGGTCAGTCTTGGTATATGTTCTATGGGCACTTGAAAAGACTGTGTATTTTGCTGTTAATGGGTAAATTGTTTTACAAATGTACACTCGATCCTGTTGGTTGGTTGGTGTTGTAGAGTTCTACTATGTCGTTGCTGATTTTCTGTCTAGTTGCTCTATCAGTTCTTGAGAGGAGGGTGTTGAAGTCTCCAATAATAATTGTGGATTTTTCTGTTTCTCCTTTTAGTTCTATCAATTTTTGACTCACATCTTTTGCAATTCTTTTTTTTTTTTAATGAGTATGCACTTAGGATTGCTATATCTTCTTGGTAGATTGACCATTTTATCACAAAGTCCCTCTCTGTGTCTGGTAATTTTCTTTCCTCCAAAATCTACTTTATCTGATATTAACATAGTGTCTCCTGCTTTCCTCTGATTAATGTTTACATGATATGTATTTTTCCATCCTTTTATTTTCAACTTGTCTATGTCATTATATTTGGAGTGAGTTTCTTTTTTTTTTTTTAATAATTTTATTTATTTATTTATTTATTTTTCCCTCAAAGCCCCAGTAGATAGTTGTATGTCATAGTTGCATATCCTTCTAGTTGCTGTATGTGGGATGCGGCCTCAGCATGGCCGGACAAGCGGTGCGTCAGTGCGCGCCCGGGATCCGAACCTGGGCTGCCAGCAGCGGAGCACGCGGACTTAACCACTAAGCCACGGGGCCGGCCCTGGAGTGAGTTTCTTATAGACAGCATATAGTTGGGTCATGGTTTTGTTTTTTAAATTTATTCTGTCAGTCTCTGTGTTTTATTTGTCCTATTTAGACCGTTTATATTTACTGTTATTGATATGTTAGAGCTTAAGTTTGCCATTTTTCTTTTCTGTCTGTTCTCTCTGGTTTTTATTTCTCTGCTGTTTTCTGCATTCTTGTGGGTTACTTGAACATATTTTATTTTTTTTATTTTAAAAAAAATTTTTTTTATTTATTTATTTTTTTCCCCCAAAGGCCCCAGTAGATTGTTGTATGTCATAGTTGCACAGCCTTCTAGTTGCTGTATGTGGGACACGGCCTCAGCATGGCTGGAGAAGCGGTGTATCAGTGCGCACCCGGGATTCAAACCTGGGCCGCCAGCAGCGAAGCGCGCGCACTTAACCGCTAAGCCACGGGGCCGGCCTACTTGAACATATTTTAGAATTCCATTTTAATTTATAGTGTTTTTGAGAGTCTCTGTGTATAGCTTCTTTAGTACTTGTTCTAAGTATTATATATATATAATACGAATATATACAAAATATACATATATACTATATATACATTATTATATGTGTATTATATATTACATATATAGTGTGTGTATATATATAACTTCTCCATTATATATCTATTTATCATTTTGTATCTATTTTATCAGTTTTTTGATCTCATCATTTTACCAGTTCAAGTGAAATATAGAATTCTTACCTCTTTTTATCCTTCCCCCATTTACAAGATAATTTTTTTCTTAAATATTTTCTCTACATAGACTTAGAGCCACATCAGACAACTTTTGCTTCAACCATAAAATATTTTAGAAGATTCAGAAGTAGGAAAGCCTATTGTATTTACC